ATAGCCGCAGCAAAATTTCAGAAGAAGACGTCATAATCACATCAAGCATGAGAGCAATCGTAATCGCAACAATGTAAGCCGCTGTTAGCCAAAGTACCCCTGTAAGCAGCGCACGAGGCCCTAAGCGCTACTACATGCGCTGCTGCTCCAAGTGCCTGAGAGCCCTTCCCCGGCCTGTGCTGCGTCCTGGGCAAAGTGATGTACATATCGATTGCCCACTCACGAGAACAGTGGCACAGAGGTTGCATGCGTTGATTGCCGTTTGTGTTGCCAGAGTCTGCAACCGCAAACTGCAAGTTTCAAGGCTGATTATCGTGCAATTGCCCATACAGTAGTCTCCGCATGCACCAGGAGTAGAGATCAATATCCTTCACTTCAATATTTCTTTGGTTGGAGGTTCTATTGCAAGATCATGGGTCATGTAGATGACTGAGCTTCTAGAGTTATGACCTGTTGTGGCTCTTCTAGGCTAGGGCGTCTGATATGAGGGCTCGGGGCCTTGGTGGTGACAGAACTTGGGCGAGAGCACCGAGTCGAAAGCAGTTCTGGAGCAGGAACCTGCGAGAAGCACCCTGCATAGCCAGTGCCGCATCGAAAAAGGCTTGCTTGCGCCTATCTGTGCGGTTTGGAAAGGTGGGTTTTTACTGTTTTCCTCGGGTTGTCGCTGCTGCTGGTGTGAGGATAGTGGTAGTAGTCGTCGTCGTGGTCGTTGTCCTCGCAGCAGTATCAGCATCCGTGCAGCAGCAGCGGCAGAGCCGGTGGGGGGTCGGGAGCCAGTGGTAGGTCTTCTCAGTCTGATGCTTCCCGCGATCAGATGTGAACACCCGGCGGAGTCTCAAGATGGCTGTCTTACAGTTGCCATATCAAGGTCTAGCCATCCTTCTCTTGCTGTAACTTGCTTTGCTGGTAAATCGACTCCGTCTACACTCCTTTTCACCCTTGCCCAGTGACTCATCCCAAGCCCTGCAGTCAACGGACCCAAGGCGATCCTCCGACTGCTCGTGGCGGCCTCCGTGGCATCTGCCAACCGACTGAGGCAGGGCAGTTCCAGCCATGTCCTACTGAGACCGGACTCGCCTTCTTCGGCCTGAGCCTGGCGGAGGAGGTTTCAGATGAGAGTAGGCATGCACATATCCTGAGACCTATAGGAGGTACTGCATGTTGTTTGCAAGTTAAACTAATTAGGTCCCCTTCGACCCGCGACCCAAGTTGAGCTTTGTTTTCTTCGATTATTAAAGTGGGCGGTGGGTGGATGGTCGAGGGCGGTTCAGAACCGGAGGGCTTCTCACACCTGCTGGTGTGCTCTGTGATTTCGAGCGTTCGAGTCTTGGCGTCTCCAATCGTCCTTATTACGAGCCCGAAGCCGACATAAGCCAACAACAGGCCCAGGATGATTGCAGCGCTGATTGGAAGCCCCACAAACCTGGAGCATGAGACCTGCAAGCCCGAATATACCGACAGCCAGACCGGCAAAACCCCGATAGAAAAAGCCGACAGGTCTGCTGCAAAGGACAAGTACGGCTTCTATTTCCCTGTGCACAGCCAGACCCCGTCGACGCTCAACGTCCTTCAATCGGTGCCTGTCCGGCTTTTGGTGTGTGTGTTTGTGTGTGTCTACGAAGCATCGGGCCGACCTGCGCATCCCTTGGTCCATGCTTCCTGCGCTCTTGACACGCCAGCAAGCTGTCCTCCATATTATGCTGGGCGTGATGGTGGTGAGTAATTGGGTTTCAGAAAACAGGACTGTCTGTGTTCATTTGATAGTCCTGGATAGTCATGACCTTCCTTTTCTGTGTCATGATTGTCATCATCATTATCGTGCTGGCAGTGGCAGCTGTAAGGCATCCCCGCACCCGAGATCTCAAGCAGCTCTAACTTAACATAGGCTCTCTTGCAGTCGTTGTCAGGTGCGCCGGTTCTACCCCAACTCGCCAATCTACGTGTTGCAGGCAATGCAAAAACCCAGCTGCTGCCCTGATCCCCCGGCCCGAAGCCCAGGGACCAGACCAGAAGGAGCTCCTACCGTAGTTTTTGGCTTCCGCACTGTTTTGCTTGTAGTTCCTTGAAAACGTCGCAGGCAGGGACGCGTCTCGGACTGGTTCCAGTCACTAGGGCCATGCATGATGTTGTGTCAGTAGGCTTCTGGTAGGTTTCGACGGAGGCAGGACGGCCCGGACCATCAGAAGCCAACTCCCAAACAACTCGAGTATTCCATGTCCAATGCCGCAATGCCCAATGCCCCCAAGAGAATATTCGTGTCAGGACGGCGGAAATGTGGATTTCGGCCCGCTGTGCAAAACCAAGAAGTGGCCAGATCGGAAGTTTAGGCAGTGAGCCACAAGACCGCTACATCTTGCTGTTCTTATACAGATCGTTGTTTACGGGTTTGCCAATATTATCTGCCAATGCAGTGGCCGCCATTGCCTGCCGGTCCCTCCGAGCAATATAGTTTGTTTACATGGCCGTGGTTCTGGCGGTGATGGTGGCGGTGGTGGGAGTGCTCGTGGCATTAAAGAATACTACAGCAGAAGCGTAGCTGCGGCATGGTGGCTCTTCTAAGTTGAGATTTAGCTGGCGATTCGATTTTGGGTTCGTGCTTTTGAACCTTCAGGTTATAAAAATACCTGTATGGAATCATTGAAGTTCTTGTACATGGACATCGCCGGTATTCGGGATGTGTTGTATTCGCCGGAAGTTTATCCTGGAGACAGCGTAAGAAACGTGTCAAGGTACAGCACGTGCAACCCGGGCATTCGAAGCCTTGCAAACCGCAGGCACCCCACAAGAAAAGCATCTCAAGATCAGAGATAAACAGGAACCCGAATACTTTGGAAACGAAGGACTGGAGGTCACATCAAGCGCGCCCTGACTGCACCGAAGCAGAAACACCAAGGTACAACTGCATGTTCGAGAGCGTCAAAGGCGAGAACAGCCGATGGAAGCTTGTCAGAACTTAGCTGCCACAGGAACCTGCACCATTGTATAACCATTTCGGGATCCTTAGTTAGGGTTGAATTGAAAGGTACAGAGCAGCGAACAAGACGATCAACCAGAAGCATAACAAGAGAGGAAACCCAACACCGCTCACTGTCACGGTGACAACCGTTGCAGCAGGTGAAGCGACGGCAGGCCCAAGGCTTAGCGAGCAGACTCTAATTTCTATGCACCCTGCCACGAGTCTTTCCCCGGTACGTTTCAACGCGCATGTTTAAAGCAGAGAGACCCTGGAGCGATCAATCTGAGCTATGAGTAGCTAACGTACAGCATTGTCGTCGGCCAATGGCAGTCAGCCGGTTGGAAGCATGATGCAGCTATCCATTGCTCCCTGGACTTCGACGGCAAAATATCAACAACCATGACGAAATGTGGAAGCAGCTTGAGCAGGCGGGTGCAGGCATGATGTCCATAGGCAGGCTTGTCGGCTTGTTGACAGTGAGAAGTTGCACAAGGCCTTGAAGGATCACGACACAAGACTTTGTCGGTGCCACCCCAATTGGGCAAGTTTCGTTCGACATGTGCGGCACTGACAAACCGCACCTGCCACTTCCCGAGTTCTAGAGGCTGCGTGCTGTTCAACCAACTGCACGTGCAAAATCTAGCGGCGAGGACCCTGCGCTGCTGGGACATATTCCAAGGCCCCATCCAAGAGATCCAACAAGCCTGAGCCTGTAAGAGGATATAGCGTCACCTCTACGTCCACGGCCTTGGCCAGCATCAATACCTGAGAAAAATACCGCACACATACAGTGAAATTCGCCTTGAGGCTGAGAGTGCAATCGCAACTGAAGCGACATCTTTCCATGACGTGCAGCAGACATATTGCCGGACAAGCGCTTTAAATGTTCGGAGAAAACGCGTGGGCAGGTTGCCGGCGTGGCGCGACGAGTGCACTCTTTCAAGATTTTGAGCCCCGTGTCATTTGTCTCGAGCAGCTGCAACTTGTCAACTTGATGCACCTTTGCATGGTGGCGCGTAGCACAAATAATCTCTGTATCTCCAACGACTCACGTATACAATGGCGAGATATGTCCTGTCCGCAAGGGCCTGCACCACTACATAGTGGGCCACAGTACATAGCTTACATAGCTTAAACGTGCTGCAACTCACGCGTTTGGCTGACTTGTAGGCCTAACTGGCTTGTCAGTCTCCCACATGTCCCCTTCATTGGGCCTGAAACCCCAAGGCCAGGACCTGGTCCGGCAGACCATAAAGGCAAAATTCCTAATCGCTTAGGGTTTAGGGTTTGAACACCTCGTCACCCCGTTTCTCAGGAACCCTCACAGCTGGTTCGCACGCTTCCGCGAAGCGACCAAGGCCTTGGGAACGGCTCCTCGCCCGAATTTACACAGCAATCTCACAAAGCCCAAGAGGACCAAGAAAACGGGCTTCAGTCTTGAGGCTTGAGGATTTATGGGCACTGCCAGTTGTCGGAGCCAATGCAGCATTTGTTATTTTGAATAGCGGCCCGCAGCACGGTTGGACATTTCAGCTGGTCATTCTGGCTTCAGGCCCTGGGAAGCATGTACGTTGCATTGTGTTATTTCCCGGAGTGGCTGTGTGGCAGCCTTCTGGCCTGTAGTGGCTCAGGTTGTGAAAGGTACGACAGTACTAATAGTTGCCACTGTGCTTGTGCTAGCATTCGACTCACACTGACGATGGCCGCAGTTGTGCTCATCACTGACAATCAGCAACTGCCCAAAACAATTTTCAGACTGCAGGCAAACGAGCAGCAAGGTACTACCGAGCATGCTTTAGGTAGAGGCTTTAGGAGACTGACCCGACTCTGACGTGCCGACCCCCGAATCGCATCAAGTGAAGTCGATCTCAGTTGTCGTGACATGCCCTGACCTGGAGCCCCCGGTGAACATCGGGTCTCCTTTCGCTTGTGTTGCGAAAGGAGTATGTGATCTACTTGGAGCCAGATGTGCTGGTCAGGCACCATGCGGCATTTGGGGTTCAGCACCCGCGGGCTGCAGTAGCATTCGTTGCAGCGAGGGGAAATGGAGGCGGTCAGAGGCACGAGATGGGAGGCGATAGAAGGAAACATCTCGGAACAGAAGGTGGACAAGCGAGAGCCGATAGCATGGCTGGTCGATGAACACAATCCGATTGTGCACCGGCCCGGATTCGAAGCCTCGAAGTCTGGACCTTCCAGGAAGCACCACACCATGGAGCCCAAGAACGATGCTGGGGGCATTTTCGACGATTTCAACCCGCACATGCATCCGGACCTGTGGGGGACAAAGTTCCAGTTGCGGCTGTGCCATGCACTGACCACTAACCGTGTGTTTATCACTCTGCTTTGCGACATGGCTCCCAGCGGCCCTTCCAGATTGAAGCCTTCAAGGCTCACACTTACCCGGCAGGACACCATCAAATATCTGGAGAAGATGGGCCGGGAGCGGAATCCACACTTCAATGAGCCTCGGATAAACTAGGGTTCCATCGGATGGCCGGAATCCCGGCGGGGATGTTTATGGAGGTTTCAGTGTGAAGGCTAGGCCGATCTCAAAAATGCTGTGATGGTTTTCGAGGTTGCCATACATGGCCAAGGCACCTGAACCCAACGCCTTCCTCGCACCATGAACCTCGCCTAGCTTGTCCGAGTTGTGAAAGCGTAAAAAAAAGACTGGCGACCTCCTGGCCCCAGGGGTTGTAGGGAAATTCTTGAGATTGGGAGTTGTGTTTGCGACTCCCGGCGTCGGAGGGTGTGTGGCGTAGAGCTTGACATGACTGCGGCGCTTTGCCTAGAGCTTCCAACGGCTCATCAATGAACTGTTTCTTGCCGAGTTAATGCTTAATGAATCCCGAACCTCGAATGTCAGCTTCCCGACCCAGGTGTCTTGGATCCACTTCGGCCTTAGCGGAGGATCCTACTACAAGGCTCAAGCATCGGCAGGTCTCATGCGCACCCGCAAACCAGAGTTTAGCGCATTTGTAGGAGTTACAGACCACAGTTTGTACCTGTTTACTTTAGGACCGCGACGCATCAGCTCCCTAAACGGCTACGGAAGACATGAACACAATTCACCGCGCATCATCACCCCGAATTCTTGAACTAAATCAGTGTCGCAGCATATATCCGTTCAGGTCTTGATCTAGAAGACTTGTGACAGGGGTCGTGTGCAGACTATCCGACTACCCCTTCCCATTCCCCCAGCTAGCCTTGGCTTGTCCATTCGCCCACGTGCCCGACGGCGAATTCCAGGACAAGGTTGAACTTCGAGCCTGGAGTGTGAAGAAAAAGTAAGGCGCTGTATTATTAAACAATATTATATATATATATAATATTTATATTATATATGATATATGAAGACAGGCAGAGGCCATCTTAGATGCCTTCGACCCGAAGCTGCTTGCTTGAAGCTTCGGAGTTTTGAGGTTTGTGTGGGTACGGTTCGGTGATTCGCTCCGTTCGCGAATTTTGGGTTTCGGGTGCTTCGGGCTTGAGGGTTGTAGGTTTGTTGAAAGGTTTGGGGGATGTTTGGTGTTCGGGAATTCTGAAGCTCTGAAAGGATTGATAAGGGCCGGCGCAGAAATACCGCGGGCGTTAGAGGGTGCTGGAGTTCGGAAGCTTTGCATTGGCATTGGCGTGCAGATGGAATGAATCCAGCTGTCAAGCGATTATTGAAACGACGCACGCTTCCCCCGATCGAGGCACAGATCTCTTGCCTTCTTCAACTCATCCAGAGGGGAGTTCCCGGAAGCGATTGAATAGAGGGGATCCCCTTTACAATGTCATCGACCTTAAAACCACAGGATCGTTAATGAACCAAAGGATCCTGGTTCCAAGCGGCCTCAAATCTCTGGAAGGTTTCCCGGATCTGAAACTGCAGTCAAAAAGCGCGCCAAGGTGGGTGCGACGCCTCGACTTCGAAGGCTTGCATTTGCATATTGGGAGTTTGGGCTTGGCTTTTGGACTTGGTCCTGAGTTCTGCGCCAAGAACTCGGCTTGAAGCTGACTATCAAGGTCAGGCCTAAAATCTATTGAGGGCTGTGGGGTGTCCGCAGAGGAATTGCTCACAGGCAATGGCAACGTAGCGAACCTTGCGCTTTCGGAACGCCAGGGTCACAAGTCCTGGAGGTTTGATTCATATTCGGGTTTTTTTCGTGTGTTTTGGCTGATGCTGTTATTCCTCGTGCAGCTATGGACCGTATGATTCTGACAGTGTCAGGCATGGAGAAGCGTGAAGGAGACAAGACCATGAGCAGCGATTTCGCCATGCGACTGGGATTGTCACGCCAGAGGTTTTAATGGTGGTCGTCGTAGTCGTAGCGTTTTTAGGCAAATAGGGGGTGTGACGATCCCGACCACGAATCTGAGTCTGAAGCCGCTTGACTTGGCAATATGTGAGCAGAAGGGTGCTGTCACAGTGGCACATCTACGAGTTATGCCTAGACTCGACATGCAGATGCCAAAGTTCTCAACAAACACGGGGTAGGAACTTCGTCAAGCAAAGGCTGGTTGCCCTCTATGCTCGCGGATGGGATGTGTGCCTGGGCTTATTTGTCCTCTTGTTGACTAGATCTGTTCAGCAGAGAAGATGAGTTGAGACACGGTTTACACATGGGTTGTCATATGATCGAAGCTGAGATACCCTGAGTGAGCCGGGAGACTGTTGTGTTTTTGTCTGGCCAAAAAGCTGCTGGCATTGGACTCAGGACAGCGTGGGATCCGGCTTACAGCCGTAGACTCTTAGAGCCTCCAAGCTTCAACCCGAAGCGAAAGCCCCAAGTCTCACAGCCCTGATGTTAGCCGCTCATTCGCAAGTTAGGCCTTAGACCGGGTAGCAGGTAGTATCAAGGAAGAGCCCTGATTTTGGGGTCCATGTAGTAGCAGTTTACCGCCACCCTTAGCGTCATTTGTACAGGACCCAAAGTGTAGCTAACCTTTCTTGAAACCATGGTCGCCTTTGGAGCTACCATCCGCCGCAAGGTACCCCTGGGATGAGGTTTCTCAGCACTGGCTGGCCCCTCGCAAGCCCGGTGACCCAGAGAGGCCCGGCACCCAGACAATTCGGAAGGGCTTAGGGTTTAGGGGTTTCGAATCCATGAGTATAGTATTAACAAAACGAGTAATCAGTCCATAACTAATAAGCAAACAAGTAAAACATAGTAAAAGAGCCAATCAATTCTGAAAATGGTATGAATCTTTAACAATGCTGTCATTAAAAAGATAATAGCAAAAGCTTGAACATATTTTGCCAGGAAATCAGAGAAGATGAGCGCAGCCTTCGAGCACAACCACAAGGACCGTAGTGATGAGCGCTCTTCGAGCGTAGGGATGTGGACTCTGCGCTGTAGCTCTACAAGGATTAAACTAGGGTTTGGGGACGTGCTATTACATCTATAGTAAGACACCTGAGGATTGTGAAATCAGTCTGGAAATAGTATTACGAATAATCAGGTTATATATTATCCGAAGGCGGGGTCGTCCTGACTAAGACCGTGCCGTAACGTGCTGACCACGGATTCCGGCATGTGAGCAGACAGGAGCACTACAACGATCACGTGCCGGACGAAGAGCGTCGCCCGGACTGCAAGCTGCAAGCCATGTCATGTGCACAGGCCATGGAACGACACCCGTTCGGAAGTCGCCGACAGATGTGCATGCAAGCTTGTGCTGGTAAATGCAAGACACGACCGACCTCGCCGGTGGCTTTGCGTGCAGAGATCGAAGAATTCGCAGGCAAGCTGATCACCACCTTCGTGCAGAGGCAACAGGCTCGCAGTCGAAGGGGAGGGGAGATGCCAGTGACTGACATCCGAAACTTCATGCCTTCGTACGGCAAGCACGAACCTTAAGGGCTTCTGCATTCACCATGTTGCAAGCAAGGTTCTGCAAGTCGACACCTGGTGCGAGGATGTAAGGTTACTTTGCACCGATGTCATGAATCGCTTCTGAATACGGCAAACCTGCACACTCAGAGCCAAGACTTGTTCCGTGTGGCTTTGTGTCGAAGTCTTGACCGTGAATCCCCTGAACCCTCAAACTGGCGATGGACAACTCAATGATGATGGGTCTTCATGATGTAATGTGTTTCCAGGCCGTCGAGTGCCATCAAATCGAATCTGTCATTGCGCAGCTCACCTGCAGGACACAACCTGCCATGGCTGCGTCTGGTACCATGATGCCGACCCGCATCAGGTGCGTCCCATCCCGCAACTCGCCTCAAGGATGGGCAAGTCTGCATTGTGCTCACGATGCCTCCTAAGAAGGCGAAACCCTCTTGGTAAAATCCTGTTGACCCTCAAGTTTGGTCGGGACTCTGACCCCAAATCGAACAGGTCCGAGCCCCTCAAGCCCAAACTTGCAGCACTTGATGAACAGTATAGCCCCTAATTCCTCAAGGCCAAACTTTAAGCCATTGATAAAGCGTGTAAGTGTAAGGATTCTGGGGTGTAAGATTTCAACCCCTCTGCTAAGGGGCAAGCAGCCACCCATGCCGGCCACTGGACGGAACCCAGGGACGTATTAAAGCTTCAGGGCTTGGCATTGAGCGGTTTCGGGTTTGGGAATACGTAAGGGCTGGTAAGGTTTGAGGGGGTGGGTCTGTTCGTAGAGTCCGAGGATCCCTTGCAAGTGGAGCTTAAGGGTTACGTAAGTTACGTATATGTATATGTTAAACTTCATAGATGTCCAGCTCACCGTCGTCGTGAAGTGTAGCACGTTAGTGGTTGTTTTCCTGCCAGTGCTGGCAGCCTTTTACCCGAGTGCCGAGTCGAAACCCTGCCTTTACGAGATTTGGCCTCGACGAACTTCACTGTAAAGGCTCAACTTGGCTAGATAAAGCCTTATTAGACTGGCTTGGAGGGAAATTGTGTAGGTGCAGGTCATAGGGCTTTCGAGTTTCTGGACAGGTTCTGCGGCGTAGCAGTTTGACCCTCTTCCATCCTCGGCTATGCGCCCCTGCGGCGCTGCCCTCGCAGATTTTGCAGAGAAACTTTTGAGTTTGCCTGGACCTAGACAGTACCCTAAACACCCTAAACCCTAGGTCACTGCCTGCAGAAGGCACCAAGACGAAATTCGCTAGCACTCCTCAGAGTTCCCTCGCATGTGAGCTTACCTTGGCAAGTCAGATCGGGGCATGCCTTAGTCAAGTACGAATGAATCTTGTCCTTGTCCAGCTGCCATGGAGACTCTAGCAGCTAGCATTGCGCGCTCCTCCACGTGGCAGTTGTGACGGTGATGTAAACACACGCTGCTGTAAGCTTCCCTACGCTTCCCAGAGTAACGCTCCTGCGCAACTGCTCGGTCGGCCGAGGTCAAGTGGCGATACCCTCTGAAGCACTGAGGGCCGGCCTTGAATGCGTGACTCAGGTGCATAGAGACAAGCAGAGACTAAGGAGCTTCAGGCAACGGAAGACAGGTGCACATTTGTGGGCTCGACGAAACTTTGATTTAAATACGCAAAGCTGAAGCTGGACTCCATCTAAAGGCTATACCGTAGCAGGGGAGACTATCGCGCCAGAAATGGCTGACATCGTGGTCCTCAATGGACTGCGTTCGCTCCCGGAAAAAATCGGTGCAGGGCGCAATCTGTATAGCATTTTTACTATAGTATAGTATAGTATAGTATAGTATAGTATAGTATTATATATGGAATTGCATGATACTTGTAGTATATAATGGTATCGGTATATGTAGTATAAGGTTCATAAATGCTACCCAGTGTATGGAGGGCCGGGGCCAGAGGTTGCTTGGGTGCCCAGGCTGCTCGTGAAGAGGTCGGCTCGGTTCGCCTCGGAAAGCTTTGGCCCATTGGTTTGCTCAACTAGAGTCACTACAGAAGCCGGATTCTCATAGCTTGCCGGAATCTTTGGAAAGCCGTGCTTCTTACAAGATCCCTTGAAGAGACCTTCTGAACGTTACGTAGAGGGAGTGGGATAATCCCAATCCCAGTCCAGCCCTGTGATCCTTTGTAAGTGTAAATACTACATACTATATACCATACCGTACTACTAAGTTACTATACTATACTATACTATTGTAAGGTTCAAAGCTCAAGTCGGCTCTGGGTCTCAGCGTGTCGCAGGAGCTGCCGACCACCAGCAGCAGGAGGACTCAGCGGCTGGAGCTCGAGAGAAGACAAAAGCAGAAGACATGGATGGGATGCTAGCCTTCCGAAGAATAGCCGAATTTATCGGGTTTATGCCAGGAAATTCCGCAGTTAGGTCAATCATCAAATCATTAAGTCCTTACGCTTGCCTGTTGAGCCGCGCACGGGCATCCGCGTCCGGGTGGAAGAGATTGGGCATCATCTTTCCTTTGAACACCGGTGGTCATAGCGTGCATGGACCTCGGCAGGCGATCTAAAATGAATCCAATGTCAGAGCAGGCCCGAAGCCCGAACACATCTCTGAAACCGTGACTGGCTAGTCAGTTCAATCCTGATCCAGTCATCCATTCATCTATCTCCATCAACCTGTGTCTGCATGTGTTTGTATTTATGACCTTTTCTCAGGGCGTAAATCCGAAAACCGCGCCCGGCGGCAAGTCCGTTGGACAACTCGTGCCAATCCTTTGTCAGTTGTGCCCGTGCTTGTGACTGGCTCACAGCCTGGAGTGCACAGCTAACGGTAACAAGAAAACAACAGAAGCAGCGGGACTCGTGGATCATGTGAACTTCGACTAGCGAGCGGCCGCCGTGATTACCCTCATGAGTGGACCCTGATGCCATGTGCTGCCAGGCAGCATGGAGGGCTTAGGGCACGGGTGACACCATTTGATGGGCCCTAAACCCTTGAACCCTTGGAAGCCCTGATCCTCCAAACCCTCGAACGCAAGACTTAGGGTTCAGTTGCGGTTTCTGCGCATCTGAGAGGTGCTTCACGAAAGACGGACTCGCAGAATTTCAGCTCACGGACAGCATGTGGGAAGTTCGTGACTTGAGAATAGCACACACACATATGTATATACAAATTCATACATATATAATATATATATATGTATATATTTACTTATGTATGTATGTATGTATGTATGTATGCATATATATATATATATGTGTATATATATATATATATTATAGATATTATAGATGTATGCTATGGTAGTTTGCTTGATTTTGTAACACAGACTGTCCGGTTATGTTTAGGAACCTAGTGGCGCATCAGGAGGAATGATCTCAGCCACAGCTTTACTTCCATCAGCCACCAGCCTTTGCATGTCGACTATCGAGGGCCTCAAAGGAAAACGCATGAAGTCATTTGATGTGTAGTTAAAACTGACAGCCTTGGACTTGGACGCAGGAACTAGTTCAGGCTAGCCGTCTCTTTTTATGCGAATTCCTGCTGAAGGCTGCGTTGTGCCTGGCTAGGGGTGAGAGATGCAAAACGGACAAACAGTGCTCAGACTCAAAGCTTGCCTTCCAGCCTCTGTCTGTTCCCTTTCTGCATTGAGCAGATAGATCAGAAAGCTTAGTTCTCCAATGCCCAACCTTTAAAATCTTTTGGGCTCTTCTGGTTTAGTAGTATTCTGAAAGTTTAACCTTTTATTTTCCTGGCATATTTGGGAAGTAAGATGAAGAGCCGGGGTGTCTTGGCGCATCGAGCATCCATTCGGCTTGATCCTATGTGGCTTGGAATCTCCGTGGCGTTCTGTGCACCTGCCTTGTCCCCTCCGCAGAACTTGGCACGCTCTTGCAGGGTCTGCATGTTGAGAAGAGGTCAGCAAGCTAAAGATTAAAGACTGGGACATGCCCGAAGCAAGAATGGACAGCCGTCCACCCCACCACTAAACCTGAAGCCCAGTTAACCGAGGCAGCAAAACTTTACTCCTCGACACATGCAAACCAAACTACTCTTACTCATCTAGCAGTCGGAACCTGCGAAACCTGAAGTCCAAGCCACCTGTGCCGCCCAGCCCTTGCAACCCTACGCCCTCCAACCCACCCCAGTCCACCCGTCAACATGTTGCTGTAGCCAAGCCAACCAGATCGATGCCGTTTCAGTTTCGCTTGGAAGGCACACGGCCTTTGATTCAATCCCCAGAGAGCAAAGTCTGAAGCTCTGAATTCCCCCCTACGAACTACAGAATAGGATTAGCATCCTCCTGATTATCTGTCGGGCCCATGGCGGTTTCAGTCCTGGGCCATGCGCGGAGAAGCGTCACGGCCTCGGCCGTAGTGGTGCGAGGAAGGGACGGAGCTGCTAGGAAGGCCCAGAAGACGAGAATAGAGAGGCTGAGCTTTCTCTTGGCACATGGCTTCGAACCTACAGACTACAAGTTGGTGGGCGAAGGAGAGTGATAGAGAGGGAGAGAGAGATGGCGGAGACAGAAGCTTCGTTTGCAGCTTGCATGACCGACAGAGCAGAGAGAGTGGGCAGGGACATTCAGGGCTCTTTTGATCGCTTGCGGTTACTAGACGCACAAGAAGATGAGAAGGCACTGCCAATGCTAAAGCTCAGCCCCGGTGGTTTTGCAGGTGCCGCTTCTGTCTGTGCTGTTTTTCGCGTTGTTCGCGTCGTGGCCTCAGAGCCGCATGTTGACCCCAATGGATCAAGCAGAGGCCGAGACACGAGGAAGAGACCAAGACTTTCTGTGGTTTGCATGTTGGGACTTTATAGGGAGCGCAGCAGTGCAGACTCCTACGTTAGACTACATCAGAGCGCCAGAGCGCATAATCTACGAAGGCAATGATATCTGCAAGGTGGCGAACTGAGAGCCACTGGTAAAACAGAGCTGATAAATTAGCACATATATATATATGTGTGTGTGTATGTATATTTATACATATGCATAATTAAGTACACATACAATATACATATATATATACACATATATAAATATATTTGTTTATTTGTTTATATTCATAATCTGCACACACACACATATATATATATATATATCTCTCTCTCTCTCTCTCTCGATCTCTCTCGCTTTGCACTAAAGCCTCCATATATCAATCGACAGCCCGAAACCTCAAAGTAGATGGTGTGAGCACGTGAGTCGAACGTACTGTTCGGGCGTGACATGTCAATCCTGTGTGGCATCACAAGCTGCCACAGTTGTTCTCTTGCAGCGTTAGCACGCGAAATGGAGCAATTTGCCAGCATAGGGTTCAAGTTAAGGGTTGACAAGTCCGGGGGTAAAAGGGTCGATCATCGGCACCAGGTTATTGACGCGCGGGTCGTGGGCTTTCGCGTGTTTCGTCCTAACGCGTTGGCGAGTTGCTCCAAGCATTTTCAGCCATGGTTTTTGAGCCGTAATAATATCACAAAGCGAAACCCGCAACTTACAGAGTCTCCAATTTCGGGCGGAACCGCTTGCTCCCTTCAACCTTCACGTTGGATTCTGGGCCACTATGCACGCGACATGTGAGTTCTTGACTGGTGAGAGACAACGTGATTGCCAAGCACGGCACCAAGTTGAAGCAGACTTTGGAATCAGCGCACAGCTCCGATCGTGAAGCATCGAAACAGTCCAAACACAGAAGTAATTAAGCAAGATAGATGATCTATACTACGAGTCTATCTATCTACTTTCCTCTTACACGCAAAGCCACGAACTGTCTCCCTGGTCGAGGCCTATCGCATTTGTGCCTTTTCAAACTCCAGTGGCACCCTTGCGCCACGCAGCGCTGGCAGCGCTAGACCCGCCCCCTGGCAGTCTCAGTAGTGCGCTCCCTTTAGGCGGACCCTGAGTTCTCCTAGGGTCAGCACCCTGTACGCGATTTGGGATGTATATTAGGCTGCGAGAGGGGTATGCACAGTTATGCATCCTGTGAAGTTTCATTTCGAAGCCCGGGCTGTAGACGTGGCCTGGATTCAACTAAGAGAGGCAAGAAGAGGTTTGGCCGGGTCTGACGACTCCAGACTCCAGTCCTTCAGAGGTCCAGAGACGTCGTCGCGAGCGTGCTGGACCAAGTTGGCGGCTGGGCCCCGTTTCTTATACCTTTGCAGGGTTCGGGCGTAGAAGGAGGAGCAGAAACTTTCTCCAAGTGCTGCAGATAAGAAGAACAGCAAGTAGCCCTCAACCGGCTCTGTCCGGCCCTGAACTACCCGAACGAGGCCACTTGGACTCAGACGATCTGGAGCGCTTGGTTGAGGAGTTGCTGCCAACGCTTTTGGCACCTCGAAGAGTCAAGTGGCAGTCCTGTTTTTGTTTGGTTTCGGCCCTGCTCATGTTTTATACGTTGGGATGGCTCGTACTGGAATTCATGCACTTATCCAGGTGCGTGAATTGGGCGTCATGGGCAGAATAGACAGGATGCAGACCCAGGACGCATATTCTACCAGCGCAGGATTTTGTTGTTGAGATTGTGTATTTACCGGGCTTCGCTTCAGAGGATCCTGCCGTTTTCGTCAAAGCCTTCCGGTTTCCTTGATGCCTTCAGCCCTGTGCCGGAAGAACCACTCACCTCGACAAGGGCTTCATAGGGATTTGGAGACTTCCTCCAAATTCGGGAATTACCTTTTTCGGTTGTCGTCGGTCGTAGGTTGTGTAGATGAAGCCAGATCACCAAAACCGCCGTCATTCTACATCCCGGGCATTCACGGCGCTTCACCTCCGCGTGACACATGACCTGAGAATGCCTTTAGACCTTTGATGCTGAGAGAAGCATGTATTTCCCAAAACTCCTTCCAAAGCCGTCAAGGCCAAAAAGCGGGCGTTGCGAGATCGCCTTCGGCCCAAGCGCATCATTCTTGTGCGACTTGGCATAGCTTTGGGAGCTCCAGGGCACCGGGGCTTTGGGGGCTCCAGGGTTCCGTGCTCTCGCCGTCTGTGATTCAGAAAGCAAAGCAGCCCCAAACAAGTGGGCTGGGCCTGGCCGTCCATGAGACGTCGGGCCGTGCAGAAGCACATCCGCAACTCAACGACAAACTCCGGCGATAAAGTTTATATGTGAGATCACAGAAACCCTCAGTGGGACGGTTCATGATAGTTCGAATGTAGAATTGCGCATGCTCCGAGGCGACACGGTGAGAGCGAGGGCAACAAGGATTTGTCGCGCTTGCTTCAGGGCTTAAAACTACACCTCAATGGGATCTGATTTGCTATTGCTGATCCTGCCAGAATCGCGCGTAGTGACGGCGTAGTATTGAGGCTGCGATATATAGTGGTCCGTTGAAGTCCCTTGCTGTTCGTTTGCGGGTTTTACATCTTCGGCGCAGGACCGCTCTGCTTACTCGCTCCTTGGATGTATCGATTGTTATTCGAGGCTTGTATTGAGATGGTAAGGTGTTGGGCTTTGGACCCGAAGCTTGTCGGCCTCTGTCTTAATGGAAGCCTTGTGACAAGGATGGTGCTGTTGGCTTGGGTCGAGAAACATGCGGTGTATGCAGTTGAACTTGCAGGCGCAGATAGCGTGGTAGTCCCAAGCCGCGAAGGGTCTTTAGAGCGCCAAGAATCAATATTTTTGGCATGGTTTCGCAAACTATGCTGGCTGCATCTAGATCTGGCTGCTCTGCTGATGGGGCCAGCTGTCGCTAACTCAGGATTCGTGTGACAACTGGCCTCGCAACGCATCAGTTGCGAGATCTGTGAATCCACTAGTAGGTGCAATGTGTACCAGCTCAGGCAGACGCCAGATTCTCAGATTCAGCTGACAAGGCCGCTTTGACCTGGGTTTCAGGGCTTGGGATAAGGCTTTGCTGATCAGAAGGGGTAGAAGCTGTGTGGGTGGAGCCTGTGATTGATCCAAATTGCTCAGACGATCATGCAGCCTTTGACTCGAAGTCGCGCATGCAAGACCTGTGGAGAAGACTAGATGGATTATGGTGGTGAAAACTATGATGGTTGATGGCAAGGTGATGATGATGATGAGGATGATTATGATGATGGTGATGGTGATGCTGATGAACATGCGAATGGTGCTGATGATGCTGGTGATGGTGATGGTGATGACCATGGTGGTTGTCGTGATGGTGATCTTGATGGCACTGCTTGCATAGACCCTTCTGATGCAGGCTTGGCAAACTGCAGGGTGAGGCTGCGGGAACGCAAATACGCACCTTAGCCGGATGATTTCGGGCCGAGGTATTTCTGGAAAATGACTGACTTCTCTCGGATTTGTATTTTCACTGGATTCTCCATGGTTGTTTTGCAGAGTCGACTGAGGCAAGCTGGTCGGCGAATCCAGCGTTCGATTTTTTTATTCGCCCTACATGCGAACTCGTCAGACTTTGCACTGCCTCTTGTCGGCATGCTGGAGTCATGCAGTAGTATACTTTTGAAGTCAAGCTCCAGGGCCGAGTTGGTCGTCCGAGCAGTAGCCAAATTGCACAGCAGGAGTCTCGCTGCGACTGTTGCGACTAGGGTCCTTCCTTGCTGTGTGACATTTACTTAGCAGGAGGTGGTAAGTTACGAGAAGTCACATGCATTGTGGTAGATACAGGCGGAAGCAGAGTTCGATAAATGGATATCTGCGCAGAGATGGGAATGTAGAGCACAGCAATGTAAATATATCCATGTAAGTCTGCCGCATGCCTATGCAAAAGTCATGTCATAAAAGTTTCAAGATTTCTGCCTGTAAAGTATGCATTGTTGAGGGTTTCTCGTCACGTGTTACTGTGCTAATGACAGATTCGGGGCTGGAGAATCGGCGTAGTACTGTACCAGGGCAGTGTGACAGGAGGACGGCGGTAAGGGCGAGTCTTTGTGGTTTGAGGTTCTGGGAATACGACTTGAGGCTACGAGGTACGTGTCTTCGGATCGGCAGGTATTCTCAAAGCCTTCGAGGGCCAGGCAGGCGGATGTTCTGCGCGGCGCGCATGCGCTTGCCGGATGTTGTTCGGGAGGATGAGACTCGAAGGTTTTGATTGGCTTTGCACATGGAAGAGCTTTTGAGCACGGTGTGAGGGCGTGCAAAGAATTCCGGGTTCAGCTTGTCCTTCGAAGCAGTGCAGGCTTTGCTCTCTAGGACACCTTAGGCTGTGGAAGCTCACAGGCCGCCAGGTCCAACCGATACCCTAACGGTCCGGATGCTTGTCTAGCAAACCCTGCTTTTTTGGTTCAGGACGCTTTGTCATAGGGGCCACATACCGTCACATACCCTACAGAGCTATACAGGCTTGGGGACCCCGGAGGGTTGGACGCCGTGAACCAGAAGGCAAATCACAAAAAGCAATATGTTGAGGCAGTGAAACACTCAGTTTAAATACTAATCAAGGCTTTCTTGGGAACTCATGGCCTCACACTTTATACATGTTAACCTGCAAACCCATCAACATGAGTAATTGTGTACAATACCCATTCACAAATACAATGCAAATAAACACACAAACACTGTTTTCATGATACAAGCCCGTTTTTGTAGCTGCTAGCACTATGGCTGCTACACTTCTTCCCCCGCAACCCAGCCGATGGACTTGCAAAAGATTTCAGGCGGACAGTGACTGTAGAGTCATGTCGAGGGGCCCTTTAATAGGTATCTGAATGCAGACCCCCAGGCGAAGTCCGACTGTGACACAGGCCCAGCCCCCCTGAATTCAGAGCCGGAGTTAGGGCCCTGTGCCAATTCGCATGGTGTCTTTTGGCGGCTGGCTGATATCGGACACACCTGAAAGACGTGACAAGCTTGCCAGGAGGTTCAGATGTCCGCGGAGCCTCGACTCCGCGAGCAGGACCTTGCCGTTTATGCCTCTGCACGTCTGCAGGTAGAAACTCACTGTACCGTTTATGTTAGTCGTGCACCTAATATCGAATGACTTCGGCGATCAACCGCGAAGACAACACAACCCTCATGATTGAGCCTGAACTGTTAAAGCTACGGCGTAAATGCAGAGGCATACCCTCAGACTTTCCGGTGATGTGACTGAAGCCTAGAGGGATTTGGGCCAGGGAATCTCACGGCCGAGGAGTAGCAGTCGTGCGAGTAATTAGTGGAAGTGGCAGGGCAGTGGTAGCGGTAGCGGTGATACAATATTTTAATGCTCAACCGCTCGATACTGGACGTCGCAGCGCAAGATGGCTCAAAAGTAGGCTGTGCCTCACCGCTACCCCCCCGAACGTCCCGTAGCTCTTCTCTCGTGGCTTGGAGAAGTTTGGCATGGAGTGTAGGCTGGGCTCCAAATTCAGGAGGCATGCAGGGCTAAATGCGGGAAGGTGTAAAGAGTTCAGGTGTGACTGGGTGGTGCGCTTGACCACTACTCAGGCGCAGGTGAATCTACGGCGGTGGGTTGTTTGTCGTCTCCTGCATGTCACATTCGCATTCGCGGACCTTCGTCGCCTTGCCAGGTGCGAGCGTGCGCGTCAAACAACACAAAACCTTAGTCCATGACATTAATTAATTGATATTACTTTAAATGATATTAATATTAGGTATGTGATATGACATGATATGATATGATAGTCATATCCCCGAGGCGATGGCTCCAAAGACTGCACCGAAGGCGAAGGCCTCGCCGACCTCCGACAAGTTTCAGTGGTTCGGGCTTTTGGGGCAAAGTTTAGGGCTTGCTTGTAGGTGGTTGCGCTTGGATTCAAGGAGACGAAGGCCTAGGAATTCTAGAAAGGCGTCGTGAGTGCATGTTTGGGGTTTTTGGGCCCGAGATGTAAAACTTTGCTGGTTTGAGGCCTGTGTGGAGCTCACACTTCACAGGCAATCCCCTGCAAAAGCCTGAGATGATAAGCTCTAATTATGGTCCCTTGGCGGCCATCAAAAGCCAGGGCTCTGCTACACAAAGCTCGTCGGAAAAATTGCCAAACTGGCAGCAAGAGAAGCTGCTACATAAAGCACAGATCAGGTGAAGATTGACAACCTTTTCGCAAGCAAGGCGACTACAGTACCTGTCAGTCTTTGCTTGAGGGTGCGAGTCGGAAGCCTGAAACCCCAAGTTGCTATCATTACAGCAGTGGTATCGTCACCATCCCTATCAAGGCCATGAGTACTATCATTTCTGTTACGGTTGATGATATAAATCCTGAAAAATGCCATAATTCCCATAGTTTAGGGTCCTTAAGGTAATGCAGGATATATATATATATACACATATCTACCATTTCTGGTATGGCTGCTTGGCCTTCCCCTTGGGCGCTTTTGCACTATGGAGGCCGATCCGAAGCCCAAGGCGGAAAGCAAGGCTAAGGCTAAGGTGAAGAAGGAGGAGCCGAGGGGCCCGAGAAAGCGGAAGGGGTGCCATGAGGAAGGATAGGGGGTTTAATTGTATGTATGTATGTATGTATGTATGTATGTATGTGTGTATGTCTGTATGTATGTATGTATGTATGTATGTATGTATGTATGTATGTATGTATGTATGTATGTATGTATTGTATATATATATATATAGGTATGTATGTATGTACACATGCGTACATGTATAGACATAGGTGCAATACAGAGGGCCTCAAGCTGGGTGGGGGGGAATTAGGTTTGAGATGGTTGGTGAGGGAGCGGGGTTATAATAAGGCATAGTGCGTTCGAAGGGGAGACGGGGTCGGGACGACGGGCATGTCTGGGTACTTGTTCAGTTTAGGATACGCTTAGTCGTCAAATCATTCATCAAGCCAGCGACTGTCCCACCAGACCGAATCCTCCCTGATCGGTTCGAAGTTAGGGGATCCTTTGCTAAGGACGCTGGCAGGCCACCCGCACTTTGGACACACACACACACATAGTGTACATAGACGTATTGATGTAGGTCTAGACACGTTACATGCATGCACGCATGCAAGCAAATGTGCATACATCCATACCGACATACCTGCATCCCTACATACCGGATATCTACATAGCTACATGCATGCCTGCATACTTACATGCGTACATGCATATCTACGTAAATATTTTCCGGTTTCCATGCTGTCAGGGGTGCTCGCAGAGACTACATCAATATACTAGAATCTAGTAACTAGACTAGATGTACACACAATATGTGTGCATACGTATAGGCATATGTTCAGATTCGTTGTGTTCTACTGCTCTACTTGTTTGTTCATGTTGCCTGATAGCTTTTCTTTTCCACCAACCCACACCGCCTGCCACCTCGCGCGCCTGTCGCAGCGAGGAGCAGGAGGATGAGAAGCCCAAGGTTCCTCAGCCCAACAAGGCAAGTTGGGGGGAGCTGGGAAAACATGCGAAACATCCTGGGCTTGGGCGGTTTACGAGCCCTTGATGAGTTCAGAAAGGGCGATTTCTCGAAGTGTCGTACTTGTTAGAGCCAAAGGTAGGGAAGCGAATTCAGAATTTGAGGGAGTCCTAAAATGGACCCCGAACAGCAAGGGGCCTTTTCAAAAGGTACCCGTAACCTAAGAAATGTTCTTATGTTTACCCCGCGGTGACATGTCCCAATGTCCAACGAGTTCAAACTCTGCCTTGCTGCATTCTTTACCAGGAAGAGTTTGATGCGAAGTCCGAGAAGATCAACGAGGAAATCCAGAAGTTGCAGGACCTCTTAGCAGGAGGAATGGTTCGCCACGATAATGAACTAAATGACACTGCAATATGAACAGTGGTTCATTCATTTTCGTCCTATGTACACTTGTCATCCTCACCATCGGCAGCAGCCACCATCATCCTCGCTCTTGTCGCCTGATTGCTCGATGGTTTGCTGTTCGAGCTTTCTCTCGCTCGCGCCTTAGCACCAGCACCATCACAGGATGGATGTGGAATTTCGAAACTCCAAGGTTCGGGCCCATTCAACACAGTCTGGTGTCAGAAAACAAGGCCAAACAAGTTTGACACGCGCAGATAGCTGACCACTGAATCTGTTGAGCCCCTGAACCGAAGTGGCAGCTGTGCAGCTATGGTTCAGGAAGATCAGGCTAGGCACGTCGGAAATTTTGAAGATCCTCAAATGCAAGGGAGAACCTGTCCCGCAGCGGCCCTTCAAGATCCATACTCTTCCCAGTGTCAGCGCGAGAGTCCCAGCCCTCAGCATAGCGCAGTCGTCTTACCGCTTCACGGCCGGAGGACAAGCAGAAGAAGCTGACCGAGAAGATTCAGGAGTGTTCTTCTGCGAGCTTTCTGTGTTGGGCGGCATGCGGCAGGAGAGTCAAAGATTGAAATCATGTGTGCAACGGATGGGATTGATTGGGAGACTAACTGCTGAAAAGTTATGAGTGATGAGTCATGGGGCTTTCAGCTGAGCCTTTTCCTCAATTCTCACTTGGCAGTCCATCCATGCTGGATGCACCAGGAGCGATCCGGTGGCAAGGAGGAGTTCTATGCCAAGAAGGCCGGCTTGGCGCTCCAATCGTCATTCGCACCCCTCGAGCCGTAGTTGGTGCCAGGGCGACGACTGAGGCCACTCGTGTACTCCTGATATACTGCGACTGCTGCTGTGCTTACGATGTGCCACATGTGATGACTGTGGGTCTCCGGCAAGCGTGCGCAGGTTTGTTTTCCAACCTGGATGTGTTTTAAGACGAGAAAAAAACGAACGGCAAACCCCTGGACCGTACGTCGGAGAGCCTATCATTCGAGGCTGGGTCCTCTTAGCTACAAGCACCAGCTATCCGCATCGGCCTTGCATTCTTACTGTTGCTATCATTCCTCGCTACTACAGTACTACACTGTAGTTACTACACTGCAAGAAGATCGAACGAGGTTAACTGTAGCCTTGTACAACTCTAAGGCCAGTACTCGATCTGTATTCTCATTCTCTCTCTCACCAGGCCGAACTCAGAGCCCAGCTGGATGTCATCACTGACAAGATCAACGGCCTGATGGAGAAGAAGGCTCCCTTCCCACTGAAGGGCTGTAGCTAAAGCAAGCTAAAGCCCCCAAGCTTTAGGGAAGGCGGGGCACCTGCAGGTTCCGATTGTGGGGGCGATTTTCCGGGTTATATAAGCAGTACATATATGGGTTTAGGGTTTACAGGGTTTAGGACATACTCTCCATGACCCAGAGAGATGTATACGGATGTGAAGTCGCGCAGGGAGGAGGCAGCCCACACGCCGAGCCAAAAGCTCTTGCAATCTCCCTGTAGTCTTGGGCTTGCGACCCACGAACTGCATAATGGGGCTTAGAGGCTTAGAGATTTTAGGATTTGGGGACATTTTTTCGGGGGTCTACTTGAATCGTCTCTTGGGCAGCTCTCTTTTGTCGGCGATAAGCTTGCACGAGTTCAGCCGTCAGCTGTGGACAAAATCAGCTAGTTCTCCCCATGCCTCTGAACGATTGTGCCTAGCACACCGGGGTTTTGACCTTCCTCTCGATGTTCGTGGTCGCACCTGCCGGTTCTTGACATGAGAGTAGCACCTGAAGCCCCCCAGCGTTCCTTACTACCAAGGCCATAACCCAAGGCCTGAGACCTGAAGCCCTCGTCTCCTCAGGACGAGATCAACAAGGCCGTGGGCAACAAGCGCGAAGAGGGCCGTGAGATGCGCTCGCAGCTGAAGCCCGGCATCGACGGTTCCGGGGGGACTTTCGCGGCGCGTTGCGCCCGCATGCAGTTTCATATCGGTATATACTTAGCCTTGCACGGGGTGCTGCGACGCAGAGACCCTGAAGGCGCCAGGCACCATGTTACCCATTGTCTTTCCGAGGAACAGCATGAAGAAAACCGTTGGCTTCACCAGCCAGCAGGAGACCTGACAAACTGGCTGAGACTTACTCACCAATCTGGGAAGCCTCAATCCCATAGCACGTCCTTGTGGATACGTCTTGCACTCTGCAATCCCCTAAGCCAGGCAGATGAACTTGCTCAGAGGTCACATCGAAGCATGAAAGAGAGTCTACGGACCTGTACATTTGCAAAAATAAACATATGTACAACTCCATATTTATGTTCATGTTTGTCCGCGATGTCCGTGTTAATGATGTCATGGTCGTCATGGGTTTGTTCCCCTTTTCTCGTTCCGGTCTCAGGTATGCCTCGAAAGGCTATTCTGAATGTTGTCCTAAATGCTTGAAGTTCTCTTCGGACTTTTTACATAGTGGCTCTACAGTACAGCACAAGCACACCTGTCAACACATTGTTGGCTTATTTCACATATCAAAATGGAAGTTCTCTCACGGGACAGCAGGAGATCAACAACCGCATCGCCACCATCGAGTTCCAGCTGTGCACGGAATCCGTGCCGCTCAAGGAGGCCGGTCGCTATGTGAGAGAGAAGATCTCTTGATCAATCCCCGAAAGCCTTTGACTGGATGCACTCACTGTTGAGGGCAGTTGGATTGCAGAACACATTGCGGAGAGACGTAAGCCTTCGGGTCGGGCATGGGAATGTTAGGGCACCCGCGTCAGGAGAAGAAGCTGCTGGCCGAGATCCAGACGTTGAAACTTGGACGATGTCTTTTGTAGAGGGCAGACATTGGTTGCGTTGCCGGCACATAAGATTCCGCGCAAGACTTTCGAGACAGCTTGAGATCGTTCGCCGATAGTTTCTGATGACAGCAGGAATAAGGCCCACCATGAAATTCCCAGCCGCCTACTCTTTCCGATTCCGGTTCTGTTGAGCCTGACCCGCTGCAAGAGCCAAGGAAGAAGAACCGCTCCAAGGCCCCTCGGTTTAAGACTTCTTTGTGCAACGGCCCGTGTAGATGCGAGACACCATGTCTGTGTGTGTGTGTGTAGATGTTTATGAAGTTCATGCATATGCACATGCGTGTCTGTGTTTGTCATTTACATCTACTTGTCAGCGTTGGGTTATATTTCTAGCATGTACAGTATGAGTAAGATTCGTGGCGCAGGGCATGCACGAGTTCGGGTTTGCAATGCCACTACGAGGTTCGGATTCCGCGGCCGTTTTTTCATTTGACGGCTTCTGAACCTGAACTGTATGCGTAACACTAGACGATGCAGGCAGTCGAGATCGCCATGCTATCGGGTCTTCGAGAATCCCCGCATTCCCGAAGACTGAAATTCAAAACACTCCAAACGCAAGCCTCTTCAACCTTCACCATGAATCAGACACGCATACGCGCAAGAGAAAACCTCACGCGGAAGCGAGGCGTTTGATTGCAGATTTGGAATTTACCGGCGGGGTCAATTTGGGATTGCACTGAAGATCAGTTTGCAGCTGCCAAGAGCGACAAGCATGCCATCTTTTTTTGGAAACAGCTCGGAACGGTGTGCAAGAGGGGATGATGGCCAGCTCGTAAATTCGTTGAACCAATGGAAAGTTAGGAAAGAAGCCCGCCAGTATACTTCAACCCCGAGAAAGGTCGACACCATGAACACGATGGAGCAAAACCTGGCGAACTTCGACCCTGGCATGTCCATGAAGGTTTCCGTTTGAGCGCTTTTTGTGATAATAAGAGTAGGCGAGCTCAAGTTAGCCTGAGGGATCTAGTGATGTCCAAGGTTCGGGGCGATGGATTTCAGACTGTTTATTCGAAGGTCGGGTTGCAGAAGAGTTTCAGGCTTGGGGCTCTGAGACACTAACTCGGTAGTTTCGCACTGGGGCTGCAACCCGGTGCTTTGCTCGGTGTTTAGGAATGTGCGGCCGTTGTCCCTGCTAGCTTGAAATGGACTTCCATGTGTATCGCTGATAAGATGGTTCGTGTTGTGATGAATGTGCTGATTCTTGTGGAGGTTGTGATGTTGAAGACTCTTTTTTGTCAACTGCACGGTGTTCAATCAACTCCGCCGCATGGTCTGAGTGTGATTATTATGGTTAGACCTGTAAGATCAAAGTTACTGCGGCAGGAAGAGGTTTCGATAAAGGCTGCTACTGTTTCTACTGCTACTGGTACGTTCAACAACATACACCAACACTTTTGCCGTGGCTCTGTCCTACTACGACGACGACTAGCACTGCCACTGCTGCTTCTGGGTCCATGCGACAATCACATCCACCCCGGTGCAGGAGCAGAAGGAGGCCATCAATGCTGACATCTCTCAATTCCGTGACGAGAAGAAGAAAATCCAGGACCCTATGTAACCCTGATGCCTGGAGCCGAAGCCCAAAGCAGAGGTCGCCGCGGCAGTCTGAGTTGAGCTCGCATTTTAAAATTGAACCCTTCACGTCAGGCTGCACTGCGGGCTTCGCTCTATCCTGACGGGAGGCGACAACGGCCCAAATCCCCTATGGAAGCTTGCTATCGTAATCTTTAGCTTAACATTGGCATGTCAATGTTTTTCTGCGAATCCAAACACTTGCCTTCTGGGAGCAGACCGGCTCTTCGATACGTCCTTGCTGGGTTTAAACTTGAAGCCATAAAGTTGGAATATCAGTATCCTCATGCCCTTAAGGTAAAGCATAGGGGATCCCGGCATTAATCATCCTAAATACATGTTCCAACTTTCTGAGGTGCGCTATAGAGCTTCAAGTGTAGATCACCAGAGCCACGGCAGGACCAGATGACGGAGTTGTCTGAAGCTCGCAAAGCCCAGCTGGGACCCATTGAGGACAGGGGGGTATGTCAAAAGGCCTTCGCGCCTGAAGATTCAATTCGGATTTTGGAGGCTGTTCTGGGCTGAGCCTCATGGCAGAAGTTCGAGGTGCAGTATGCGCAGTCGTGCGCCAGGAAATCCAGAACGAGCGGAACGCCATCGGTGACAAGCTCAGAGCAAAGATCGAGGACTGCATTTGGGTTGGGAAGGTGCTTCGGACGAGCCGTCGGCCCCTCATTGGGTCGATGCTTGCATTCGTTGCCAGTTAAATGCCAAGTATTCAGCTGCAGAGTGGGCTTGTCACAGAGCTACCAACCCAGAACAGTCCGAGGCCATGCCCTGTGCATACCGGTGCCTCTAGGCTGTAGGTTTGTCGGAAGTACACAGGCTTGAAAAGTTGGGTGGGAAGAGTTCAGCACCGGGCCCATTGCTAAAACCTGCAGTCCAAGGTATTAGACACTGGCCCCTGCCTTAAACAGTGAGCCCTGGCAGAAGCTGAGTGGCATTTAGCAAGAGACTCTACTACACCGATCCGCCAGCAGCCAGGAGCGCAACGCGCTGCGCGATGAGTACCGCCAACAGGCGGGCCTGAGTTCGACAATTTTGTCTTCTGGTTACGGAGTTGAGGTGTTCGCACTGCACACACGTTTATTCAGAGCGTGACCTTGCGTTACAATGGATTGTGTCTGAAAGTCCCGAAGTCCACCAGTGGGGACCAGGACGAGCTGGACATATCACTGTTGCAATCATGCTCTCGATCTTGCTTTAGGTGGAGCTTGCAGACGATGAAGCTTAACTGGTAAGGCTGTTCCTGTCATTCCGGTTTATTCCACTATCATGGGTTCTTTGAGTGGTTTCAAGGGAGGCCATTGGTTGGAATTCCATATTTTCATGATGCCCATTCTGAAGTGTGTCGTATCTGTCTCGCTCCACTTCGCGCCAGACTGCTGATGTTTTCCGTTGCGGGTAAACCGAGCTGCTTCGGCAGAGCCACCAGCAACAGATCGACGGGCGCTCCTCAGCAAGCCCCGTACACGTGGTTTCCCAGACAGGAGCGCGAGTACTGGGCCTACCAGCAGGAGCTTCGCAAAGCCCGCCAGGACGAACGGGTTTCAGTGAATCTAGAGTCTAGAGCCCAAGCTCGCAAAGGGTTCTAATTACTGGTACAAGAGGTTATAAAAAAACAAAAAATATATATATATATGTATGTATGTATGTATGTATGTATGTATATATATATATATATGCTAGCCCCCCCCCCCTGGACCAACCTTTCACATGAA